CTCTATCTCAGGTCTTATAAACGGAAAATGCATCGCTTTGAAAATGTGCTGACAATTTTGAACTTCATTTTTCTTTAAATACCTTGTTCAGAAAACACCTTTGTTTAACATTGCCTCCATTTGGATAGCTCAGTTGTTTCTCTATTTTGAAATCAGCAGTGGTATCCATCATTTTTATTTTTTCTAAATCATTTTGTTTCTACACTGCGTTATGATGTATTTGCAGCAAAAAAACAAGACGCTTGGTGAAGAAAAACTTCAAATTGCGCACAGTTTCGATTAATTATTCCAGATTTGCAAATCTTCTTGCTTTTAATTTTAAATAACTACTATAAAATCACCTAATAGGTTTTTTGAATTAACGTTTAAAGGATGATTTTCTACAATTGTTTCTCATTAATATGAAAGCAGAATTAGACAAATTTTCATACCGTTTTGGGTTATCATTAACCCAGTAGTGGAGGGCTAGGGGTAGCAGACTGTCAGACGTCTGAACCACTTGGTCACCGCGGGGCCCGTTCTATTTCTGGACCGCTGAATACTCCATACGCATTCAACACAACCCGACGATGTCAACCCGCGGCTTGATAAATAGTTAGTGTTACCAGTGGTACATTAACGGTATCGCAATTCTTTGATATTTGCAGTATTCAGAGGTCTAACTCTTTATTTTTGTAGATGAATTTAAATCTGTCTTAAATTATTGTTCCTTCATTTTTTGTTTTAGAATTTTTTGTCTGTTGATGTATTGGGATGAAAATGATAAAATAATACACATCTTCAGTATCTCCTGAATTGCACAACGTTCATATGTTAGTTCTTTCTTTGAACGCGATGAATATTTGACGGAAGCGGTAAGTTTTTCCTAAAGATTGCTTAAAGATATTTAGATAAACAATACTATGCACGAAAAATCTTCATGATATGCAACTATTACAAATGGCCTCTTGATGTCTTTACTCAATTTCCAAACAGGTTTTGCATGTAAACATCATAAAATTGTCGAACCATGTGTTCATGTCACTTAGTAAAATGATAAGTTGGTGTGTGATACCAGATGATGACATAAGTTAATACATCAGTGGGTGTACTATCATAATACACGATCTGAAAACGCCATAAATCCAATATATCGAACCCTGTAAATAGTATCAGTTATCATGTACAGTATGGGGTCCATATAAATAAATCAAGTCGGTTTTATAGAATATTCAGGTAGTAGAGGGCCTGCTACCTAGACGTTTTCACCCACGAAATCTACGTCATTGCATTTTTGTACATGTAACCTTTATGTCAAAGGATATAGATTTGAAGTTCCTCCTTGCTATTCCATGAAACCTTCCATGACCTCCTGTAATAAATGTACTCGCTGGTTTTCAAACGTGCTCCGTTCACTCATCCAGATCATCATATCATCAAGGATTGTGCTGACCTTTCTTCCAAACATCTAGTAGTTTCGACTGCTGAACGCTACGTCATTATGACGGATGATTTAGTTTCCAATGTATTTGTCGTTGAGGCGCGCACGTAGTCGTTATGTGCTTTTGCCAAAGGCGAATGCTATGCAGTAAATGGTATTTTCAGGATGTCCCGTAAAGATACATTTAAAAAGGGTGAATAGTAACACCCAGTGTTGTAAACCCCTCCCACAAATGTAATCCGGTTTCAGTAATTAGTGCGGATACACCCCTGTTGTTACTCTTTTAGGGTTGCATAATATTTAATTTGCATTGGATCTCTTACTGCGACCATTTATTTTTCGGTTTGCAGCACATTTACCAGCAGGGAAACTGATCACGAACACTTCGTTGAAGTACCTGTCTGTAGTATTTTTCCCGCATTTTCACCGGGACTTTCATATTGGATATCCAATATACATATTTTCGCTTCGTCCTTGAAACATGTCATGACAAATAAAAAAAACTCCTTACGAGACACATTGCGGATGATACATCGAAGGAATCGCGCAGCAGCGTAACGGTTAAATAGCATGCTTTGAAGTGGGTTGAGTTTATCTTTAATCATTTTAAGCATCAAAGAACAGATATCAGCCTAGCGAATGATCAGGTTTTCATACCTAAAACTAATCTTATTACCCCGAGTTTTTCTGTCATGACAAAAATATTCAAAGGGTGCAGAAATATGTGTATCGAAAGCCCTACCCTTGGGTATCGAAGCTGCAAGATTTAATGCATGTCAATATATTTCCTGTCCAGTCTGTCGTTTCATTGATTCAGTATCGACTGGTTCTCCGATTTTATGTTTATGTTGTTTGTTCAATACAAATGTTCATGTCGCTGTAGCACTTCTCTGACCTACGTTTACAGCATGGCTTCCTGGGTTGATACACAAAAAGAGCAGGGGGGGGGGGGGGGGGGGGATTTCAAACGGAACGAATTGATACGGAGTGTGTTTGTATTCCGCTTGTAGAACTATGTTTGAATTAACCGGAAAATCACGGCAATTGTTGTCTGCTTCACTTCGAAAGAGGAAAACTCATTATGTATGTCTTTCACACAAATTTGTTCTCATTTAATCATGGATTTATGGGAAGGATTATTCTTTGGACCCTATGGAACATTCAAATGTATTCAAACACGATACACTTATTCTAAATCCAAACTTTGAAAATGTAATCGTCAGCATCAGGAAAATCAGCTATGGGCAGTTAGACGTTACGCGGCACCTGTCAAAAGTATCTCGTCGTGTTAAACCTCTAACACTGTTGGAGTAGTATCTCGTCCTCTTAAACCTCTAACACCGTTGAAGTAGTATCTCCTCGTGATAAACCTCTAACACTGTTGGAGTAGTGTCTTATATGTGTGGTTGTGGTGTTGTTTTCTGTTTGGTTTATAGCAAAATATTCAGTCCTAGAACTGTTGGAGTAGTATCTCGTCGTGTTAAACCCCTAACACTGTTGGAGTAGTATCTCGTCGTGTTAAAACTCTAACACTGTTGGAGTAGTATCTCGTCGTGATAAACCTCTAACACTGTTGGGGTAGTATCTCGTCGTGTTAAACCTCTAACACCGTTGAAGTAGTATCTCCTCGTGATAAACCTCTAACACTGTTGGAGTAGTGTCTTATATGTGTGGTTGTGGTGTTGTTTTCTGTTTGGTTTATAGCAAAATATTCAGTCCTAGATACCGAATAACTGTAACCAAATTTTGTATCTATGTTTTGATAATTTTAACAATATCGCAATAATGATGTAGAATCTTTGACTGTTGGAGTAGTATCTCGTCGTGTTAAACCCCTAACACTGTTGGAGTAGTATCTCGTCGTGTTAAACCTTTAACACTGTTGGAGTAGTATCTCGTCGTGTTATACCTCTAACCCTGTTGGAGTAGTATCTCGTCGTGTTAAACCCCTAACACTGTTGGAGTAGTATCTCGTCGTGTTAAATCTCTAGCACTGTTGGAGTAGTATCTCGTCGTGTTAAAACTCTAACACTGTTGGAGTAGTATCTCGTCGTGTTATACCTCTAACCCTGTTGGAGTAGTATCTCGTCGTGTTAAACCCCTAACACTGTTGGAGTAGTATCTCGTCGTGTTAAATCTCTAGCACTGTTGGAGTAGTATCTCGTCGTGTTAAAACTCTAACACTGTTGGAGTAGTATCTCGTCGTGTTATACCTCTAACCCTGTTGGAGTAGTATCTCGTCGTGATAAACCTCTAACACTGTTGGAGGAGTATCTCGTCGTGTTAAACCTCTAACACTGTTGGAGGAGTATCTCGTCGTGTTAAACCTCTAACACCGTTGAAGTAGTATCTCCTCGTGATAAACCTCTAACACTGTTGGAGTAGTATCCCGTCATGTTAAACCTCTAACACTGTTGGAGTAGTATCTCGACGTGTTAAACCTCTAACACCGTTGAAGTAGTATCTCGTAGTGATAAACCTCTAACACTGTTGGAGTAGTATCCCGTCATGTTAAACCTCTAACACTGTTGGAGTAGTATCTCGACGTGTTAAACCTCTAACACCGTTGAAGTAGTATCTCCTCGTGATAAACCTCTAACACTGTTGGAGTAGTATCCCGTCGTGTTAAACCTCTAACACTGTTGAAGTAGTATCTCGTCGTGTTAAACCTCTAACACCGTTGAAGTAGTATCTCCTCGTGATAAACCTCTAACACTGTTGGAGTAGTGTCTTTTATGAGTGGTTGTGGTGTTGTTTTCTGTTTGGTTTATAGCAAAATATTCAGTCCTAGAACTGTTGGAGTAGTATCTCGTCGTGTTAAACCTTTAACACCGTTGAAGTAGTATCTCGTCGTGATAAACCTCTAACACTGTTGGAGTAGTGTCTTATATGAGTGGTTGTGGTGTTGTTTTCTGTTTGGTTTATAGCAAAATATTCAGTCCTAGATACCGAATAACTGTAACCAAATTTTGTATCTATGTTTTGATAATTTTAACAATATCGCAATAATGATGTAGAATCTTTGATTGAACCAAATGCCATGTGACCTCTCTTATCCTCGATACTCCAGGGTGTTACGCTCACTTTTGCTCTCTGCACCCCTTGAATATGTCATAGCAAAATTGAAGGAACCTGGCTAGCAATTCGATTGGTCTCAGGTTTAAAAACCTGACCATTTTGCCATGACATAATCCAGGGATGCAGGGAGCGAAAGTGAGCGTAACCCATGGAGTATCGAGCATGAACCTCTCTGAAACTTCACAGTATGAGGTAAAATAAAATTTTGCCAATTATTTTTTTGGGGGACATTTGAGTTTATGAAAACAGTACAACTAGCGGGAAACCTAAAATTTCTGTATGGGAGCACTCCAGATTAAAGGATTATGTGTTTGGTACTACGTATGGCTATGTTTTAAAGTAAGTATGGCGCATTCTCTATCTTTGGGATTAATGGTAAACAAAGCGACTCTGGATGCGCATTTCTGGTCAATAAATAAATATCACGTTTTAATAGACTCTAGTTCTTTCTATATATATATATATATTATGTATAGAATACAAAGTTGTTGCTTTATATAACTACATAACATTCTTATCTAAACAGATTTATTTCACATACAGATTTTGAATTATGTTGATCTTTTTAATCCGTGACAATTTCATCTTAAAATTCTTCTGATTTTAATAATACATTTGTTTATAATATTAACATCCATGTAATGTAGTACTGCATAAATCAGCCTCTATGGCAATTTGGAATACTTCAAAACATGATGGACCCCTTGAATATTTGTATTACATGAACATCGTCATTACTTTTTAAGAAGTTGAAGAAATGTCTGGAAAAAATCCCATTGTCGTCTGGACGCAGGTGTGACTGTCTTTCAAAACCCGAAAGTTAAGACCATCTCCAGTTTCCCAAGATACTATATTTAGAGTGTCACCGACACTCGATTCCTTACGGAAAGACATCTCAAGTTCCTTTACTCCATTTTGCAGAGATTTTTCCGTGATGGTTTTATATTTATTTCGCAACACCCCAAAACTGCAGGCATCCGAGCAGTATCGAGCATATTGTGCCCAGTTTGTGTGTAAATATGCGTCAGAGTCACGTGGGTATACAATGACGTCATGTTGATAGCATTGGTTGACGTCTACATCAGGTAAATCTTTCATTATCAACGCACTTCCATCAATTGAAGCTTCGTTTCCATATTTCTGTCGCCACCAATCTGGAAATGACGTAGGCTTTCTCGTTTCGGAGTCAACCAAGACGGATTGTACTTTGCACTCAGCGTAGGGGCTTGTATTTGCGTGCGATAACGTGCTTGTTAACAGGAAGGAAGAACGCCCTACGTAGTCAAGTTTAATGTTTACAGACAAAGGAAATTTGGGCAAAAACTCGTCGTACAACTGTCGTTCAATGGAAAGCTTTGCTGTGGCTATGAAGAAAAAATTATTCATAAGCACTTTCTTGAAGTCGGCGAACGAACTGTCCGGTCGCTCGGCATCAGGGATGGGCCAAAATGCAAAGGCACGCGTTGACTCAAACAGTTGAAGTAGGTTCCACAGCGTTACTTTTGCCCCTGTAATAAAATGTTTAGTGTAAGCACCAGTAATCATAATAATACGATAAATTCAATTATAACAATCGCATGTACACCTTCATGCATCAACAGTGATAATTATTCTGGGCATCAAAATTTCATTTAGAGAAGAATGTTTAATTACAAGAGGGTAAATCGTTATTATGACATAGCTTGTTCGTTATTACGATATAGTCAGTAGTTATTACGACATAGATTGATCGTTATTACGAGATAGTAAGTCGTTATTACGACATAACTTGATTTTTCTGGGTGGCCCGTACTGGCTTCTGTAAGATGTATCTTTTAATATTTATGATTGTTTGCAACCCAGTTCTGTTAAAACATATATGATATCCGGTATTATAAATATGTGTGAATGGAACTGCTGTGCATATTCTCATTAACAGTTCTTTCTAAATCCATGCTTGAATGCATGTGCTTCTGTTAACTTTTACCGAATTTGTTTTTGCGCTCAGTCTAATTTATGGAGGATTAAAAAAATTGGTTCCCCGCGAAAATAAAGACCTTAACAGAGTGACACATTGCAAAAAAAACCGCTGCCCTCAAGACGAAGTAAGTGCCTTACCTTTTGCCTCAAATGCCTCGTACGGCAGACCCCCGGGAATGTTGACCCGAACAGAGGTAGGTGAAAGGAATTCACGCTGGTAGTTCAGTTGTCGAGCAATCCTATTAAAAGACAAATTGATATTTAGGATAATTTTTCATTCAATTAAGTACAAACAAGTGTCTCATACAGCTAAACTTATGTTTCAACAAACTTGCCCGGGCACCCAATACAGATGTTATGAATAAGAAATCTTATAAACGGGGAGAACAAGACAAGTTAGGCCACGGAGCTGGTTGAGGAGTTTTAAGTGTTTTTTCAGGTACCCCAAACTATACATTTGTTTATCATTCCCCCATCACCTCAAGTCAAAACTGTCCTTTTGTGTACTCATCAATAAATAAAGATTTGGTGACTTCGACACCTTTTGAGTTGTGACACATGGACCCTATTCCCTGATTATCCATGCCAGACGGCTCAGCTTGCCCTGTGGCCGAGGTTAGTTGAACCGTATCACCCAACACAAAGAAATTAGCGTCAACATCTTACAGGAACTAAAAGTAATATTTCTTATTTACTGCATGAGAGGGAAGTGTGTACTTAACTTCAAAATTCTACATATTTAGTGTTGTTTTTCTTTGTGTAAAAAAAAAAATTGTGTTGGCAATGTCACTTGTTAGTTTAAGCTTGCTCGGAACTGAAAACGGAACGTTCATGAAAACAACGGACGACATTTGCAATATTTTCATCTTTTTAAGAAAAAAATTGACACTCTGATGAATATAGTGTAACTAAGGTCTATATCTTAATTGTTCATTGAATATATTTTGTTTTTAAAAATATGTGTTAAAACATTTATATTGATACACCGAAACATCGTTTCCTTTTCCCAAAAAAATATTTTCATTCCATTTTATGATTTTTTCAACTGAGTTAATGAGCAACGAAGTTACATTCATTGCTAAAAAATACACGAATTTCCATTTAGAATACAATGTACATATTATGCATTTGTAAGGAAAAATAGTAATACAACATGATAGGCCTATTTATAGACTATGAAACATTCCATTTCCGTTTCTCCGGTTCCTAATTCTGGGTACCCTCACGTTATGACAATGCTATAGCTTATCCATTCTTTAATTAACTGGAGCACCTCGGCTGTCGTGCTGGCTAAACTGACTAATCTGCATTTGCAAATGAGATTTTGTGCGGTGAGTCAACAGGTAAACCTGTATACGCTGCTGCTCCGTTTTTAATGGTGTTGATCTTTATTCCGCATACATACTGTTGCCGGAAGTACTGCCTCTCTCATAGGGTGCAAAGGGTACACACAGTGTGCATGCTGTTCCCTTGTGAACTTTAGAAATAAATTAAAGGTTAACGTACCTCGGGAACCCACGATTCAATGCCGATGCTGTACGGGACCCCATCGCTGATCTGATATAACCTGGTTACTCCATTCGCTTTGACCCTGCGTCAGAGACGTTTCGTCGATAAACCGGTAGAAGGGAAATAACTCTTATGACTGTATACGGTGAGTTCGATACACGCTATATAACTTACCCGAATGCATTGTAGTTATTAATTCAGGACCTCTGTCTGCACAAACAGATTCTATACATATCGTTTATGTTTTGTTTTCAGACCTGATTTATATTTCAGTAGAAGAGCGCATTTGTTACATTTTGGTACAACATCAAAGTTAGCACAAACAAACAAACAAAAAACATTACTGTAATCTAATTGTATTTTTCCCACTGACTGTCACGCTCAAAATGCCACCTATACCATACTTTGTGTGTGTATATATAAATGTTCAACATTCTGATTCATAATTTAGATATTTGTCAATGGTTAACCATTAATAATATGTTTTTATGGTTGTATGTTGTTTAACGTCCTATTAACAGCTAATGTCATTTAAGGACGTCATTAATAATATACATTTCTTCGATGAATGTGTTAATATTAATTTGGAGACAATTAATCACCTCAAGACATTCATATGGTGGCAAATTTCTGCCATCGACTTGCAGATTAACGAGTTACGTATATGCCGACATTTTTTAAACGATCTCGACACAATCTGAGGTGAAAGATAACATCAATCTGTCACTCCCAGTAAGGTCCCCTGGTACGTGATATCATTTTAGATATCGTCTGCACATCTAAATAGCATAATAGTATATTGGTATTAATATTATGATTGACATGAATGTTCAAAATGTACATGACACTGCGTCATTTCCTTACGGTTTGTGGTGTGTTTTGCTTGGTGTTTTTTTCAAAATTGTCGAGTGGTTATTCAGTCATTTATTTTGTCTAAAAGTCCGCGTAAGTACACCTTTAATACTGACAGAGGTGTTAGTCAAAGAGGTCTCATTTGACATCAAAACCATCCTCGAACTATATTGATATATGAGTTCAGCGTCGTTTACCATACATTCTTACTTACATAATTTACATCTCCTAATTGGTGATGGGCATAGATATATTAAGTAGAGTAATCGTGGTTATAGGGAATGCTGGTGTTAAAGGGGCATCACGCTGAAGTAACTATTTTTTTGTGTCTTTTTTTCAAATACTACATAAATATATCAAGTGAGACTCCTTATGGAAAATAACGATCGGATTTGGCTGAAATAGATTCATAAAAATGATTAAATCTAAGATAATCATCGGTATTTCTACCTGTCTGACCAACGTTTTGTTCAGGGATTTCCCTCTACTAGCGCATGCGCATTGCACACCATTTCTTTGTAAACAAAATGACTGGCCGTGTGAAGTAAGCCAAGAAAAGTATTGTACCGTGTCAGCTACGAAGCGAAAAGTTAACAAATGATAGTATTATTTATAAAGAAATAAGATCTGACCATGACTGCATGCTTTTACAACAAGATCTTGACGCTGCAGCCAATTGGGAAAGAGACTGGCTAATGGCATTCCATCCTGACAAGTGTACAGTTATGACTATATCATCCAAAAAACATCCTTTTTCTCATCAATACGTTCTCAACGGGCATACCCTAGAAACTGTCACTTCAGCTAAATACCTGGGAGTCACACTTCAATCTGATTTAAAATGGTCCAAACATATAGAAAATACAGCCGCTGCAGCAAATAGATCTTTAGGCTTTTTGAAAAGAAATCTCAAAACAGGAAACAATGACATTAAAAGTAAAGCCTATCTGTCACTAGTCCGCCCTAAATTAGAAGACGACTGTACCCTGTGGGACCCACACAAATCAGACTCAATATCCAAACTTGAAATGGTACAGAGACGCGCTGCCAGGTATACCTGCAATAGGTATCACAATACCAGCAGCGTCTCTGACATGTTAAGCACACTACAGTGGCCATCACTCGCAGAACGACGTCTTAAGGCCCGCCTCATTCTTATGTATAAGACAGTACATAACCTAGTCGCCATCCCCAGTTCCTCCATTCTCATACCATCAGACAGTCGAACTCGTCAAAACCACTCTCTCTCCTTCAGACACATTCAATCAACCAAAGACAGCTCTAAATACTCTTTCTTCCCTCGAACAATCACCCAGTGGAATCTTCTCCCACCCACTGTGGCGATGTCTCCATCCGTTGATGTATTCCGAGTACAGCTAACTCGTTACATTCCTCTAAGCTCCACTCCATATGTATATAGATTTAACCTCACTGTTTTTAAATCCACGCATTTTACAACACACACAGCAGTCCGTAATCTTCAAATGATTGAAGGAGGATTGGAAAACGAAAGAAGAAGAAAGAAAAAGGAAGGGACAAGTGACTGGTTAGTTTGTTTTCTCATGAGGCCCTCCAAGGGTTAACTGTTGTGATAGCGTCTCTGACGGTACTCGTGATCGGGGTCAAATGAGATACGTGCGCTTTTAGATTTACATTATTTATAATATTACCGGGTTCAGTAAAATGATATATGATTTAATTATATTGCTGAATTAAACGATTTTTTGTTTGTTTTTACATACAAGATTTAAATTAGTACTAACATGAATACCCGGCTTCCTCTGGCGCAACGACGCAATATATAAAAAAAAAATCTCGTCATCTGAAAGCTACATTATCGCAGCTAGATTAAAAATGTCAAAATGACGGGCCATGATGAATAACTGAGGAAGGAGAACCTACTTCTAGTAAATAGGATCGCGTAGCATTTGTTTTTAAATCGTAATATTTCAAAAGTTCATGTTTTCATATGTTGTTGACTTAGAATGTATGATCATGTAACAACCTTTTTCTCTATAAAGAATTAATTTTCGACTTCAGATAGAATCGGAATACGTATTGAAAACAGGGGAAGAAACATTTGTTTACGTTGTAAAAATGACGCGTGCTGCCGATAACTAGTACGGCTTCTGTTTCGGACAAAAATGAAATGATTAAAGTTGGCTCAACATAAAAAAGGGTCCATTGACAAGAATGCTTTAATCTATGAAAAGTATTGAAAAAATATAATTATCAAGTAGCTCAACACGTCCCATATCCGACACATATTCTACATGTACACGTAGTGGTTTTGCCATACAGTTTAGTGTGTGTGATGGCTAATATAACTTACCAAGTGTTAGCGTATGGAGACAGTGAAAGTGGGAAAGAGAGTATACATACCTTTTTATACATGGTATAGAAAAAAAAATTGGCCAAAGATAATGAGTTGTACAATGTAATAAAAAAAATCACAAACGTTTCTCTTTTTTATACGCGTGTAGTTTGTCATTGCATATATGCACTTTATGAAAACATTTGAAAAGGGATATTCGTCTCGTAAATACTCCTTTTTACAGAAAGGTTTGTCCCATGGTTGAAGAAAGGTGTTTACATTAGCCCCGTACAGATGTCACATTCCGGTAATAAATTCAATATATATTTATATATATCTACTTTATGTTTATGCCTATTATCATTGTTGACATTTAATTGTAAATGTATGACGGGAGAAGGCTGTGATAAATTATAAAATCTTGTGCCCCATCCCTTGTTCAATTTTATTGGCAACAAATATGTTTAAAGCTAAATAAATTTAAATTCTGAATATTGGCAAGTGTGCAATTAACTTCTGATGATGAATAACTACTGTTCAATAAGTTTGAATACGGACTAAGAAATCATATTACTTGGTTTAATAGTGCGGTAAGAAGTTGCAGTTGCCTGACGCCTCTCTCTGGGGGCCCCTTTAGAAACCGTTTCATCTCGCCCAGACCGCTCGTGTTTACTGCCTAGTCAGGTGACGTTATCGGCGCTATTTTTAGCAGGGCTTTCCCGAACAATTCAAGTGGTCAAACTGGACATTTGGAACGGACTATGAATATGGGGATAGCGAGGTAAAATAAGTGGAAGTGCATACAATACAAACATTCATAAACAAAATATATGGCTCTTCACGTGATGTCCCTTTAAACATAATGTTACTGTTCAAGTACTGATTCTGTGATTCATAAGTATATATACAAATGTAAACGTACAACAATAATGATATACAATGTGCCATGTGTACTGTATAGGTATAGACGTGGTTAAATGCATCTCATGTCATATTATTGCACAAGTATAAACGGGTAAACATAGTAAAGGTAAGTACATTGTAATTACATAAATATAAACGGGTAAACCTAGTAAAGGTAAGAACATTGTAGTTACATAAGTATAACAGGAAAAACCTAGTAAAGGTACGTACATTGTAGTTACATAAGTATAAACGGGTAAACCTAGTAAAGGTAAGTACATTGTAATTACAGTAATATAAACGGGTAAACCTAGTAAAGGTAAGTACATTGTAGTTACATAAATATAAACGGGTAAACCTAGTAAAGGTAAGCACATTGTAATTACATAAGTATAAACGGGTTAACCTAGTAAAGGTAAGTACATTGTAATTACATAAGTATAAACGGGTTAACATAGTAAAGGTAAGTATATTGTAGTTACATAAGTATAAACGGGTAAACCTAGTAAAGGTAAGTACATTGTAGTTACATAAGTATAAACGGGTAAACCTAGTAAAGGTAAGTACATTGTAGTTACATAAGTATAAACGGGTAAACCTAGTAAAGGTAAGTACATTGTAGTTACATAAGTATAAACGGGTAATCCTAGTAAAGGTAAGTACATTGTAGTTACCTAAGTATAAACGGGTAAACCTAGTAAAGGTAAGTACATTGTAGTTACATAAATATAAACGGGTAAACCTAGTAAAGGTAAGCACATTGTAATTACATAAGTATAAACGGGTTAACCTAGTAAAGGTAAGTACATTGTAATTACATAAGTATAAACGGGTTAACATAGTAAAGGTAAGTATATTGTAGTTACATAAGTATAAACGGGTAAACCTAGTAAAGGTAAGTACATTGTTGTTACATAAATATAACAGGTAAACCTAGTAAAGGTAAGTACATTGTAGTTACATAAGTATAAACGGGTTAACCTAGTTAAGGTAAGTACGTTGTAGTTACATAAGTATTATCCGCTAAACCTAGTAAGATAACTGTATGGTAATTACATAAGTATAAACAGG